AAGTATATCTGATAATTCACAATCAAGTTGTAGTGAATGTAAAACATTATTAAAAAAACCAATTAGAACAAGCAAAGAAAAAATAATTTACAAACTAATTAAGATATATCCATATCAATCAATTTTAAGTCAATTAGCTACTTTATTGCAACAGCCTGGTTTAGAAGAATTATTAGAATCTTGTTATGAAAGAGAAAATACTTCATCTAATATTTTTTCTGATCTCTATAATAGACAAGTGTAGAAAACTTTTAAAAATGATCAAAATGAACTTTTTTTTCAAAAATTTGTGCACAAAACTAATATTACCTTTGCAATTAATATTGACTGGTTTAAAGTTACTAAACATACAGTTTATTCAATTGCTGGAGTTTATTTAACTATTTTAAATTTGCCATGTCATCTAAGATATAAAAAAGAAAACACAATTTTTGTTAGTCTTATTCCTGAACCAAAAGAACCACCAATAGAAAAAATTAATTTATATTTAGATCCATTAGTTGATGAGCTTAAACAATTATGGGCCGGTCAATCATTTGCAACTATAAAATATCCAGCTAGAAGAATGTATTATGGAGCTTTAATTTTAGTTTCATGTGATACACCAGCAAGAAATAAAATTTGTGGATTTTCTAGCCATTCTTCTAAACATGCATGTTTTAAATGCAAAAAACTTTTTAAAACTAATGATACTTCAGATCAATCAAATATTGATAATTATTCTTTATGAACTATTGAAGAACATAAAATAATAGCTGAAAAATGGAAGTATTCTGTATATAGTGAGCGTAAACAGTTGTTTAATCAATATGGTATTCGATGGTCAAGTTTTCTTCAATTATCATATTTTGATCCAATAAAATTTTCTGTATTTGATCCGATGCATAATATTTTTCTTGGAACAGCTTATAAAATAATGAAAATTTGGACAATAGAAACTGATTTAATTTCAAAAAATCAACTTATTAATATTTAAAATATTGTTAATAATAGTCCACCATCTGCTAGTATTGGAAGAATTCCACATAAAATAGCATCTAGTTTTTCTGGATTTACATCTGATCAGTGGAAAACATGAACTTTAATATATTCAACAATGACTTTAAGAGATATTTTACCAATTCAAGATCAAAAAGTATGGTCATATTTTGTAAATGCAGTATCAATTATATCACAACGAATAATTACAACTGAAGAAATTAATCATGGACATAGTTTATTTATAAAATTTTTAAAAGAATTTTAAAAATTATATGATTCTAATATAATTACACCTAATATGCATTATCATTTACATTTAAAAGATGATATGTTGAATTATGGTTCTTGGTATAGTTATTGGTGCTATGCTTATGAAAGGTTAAATGGACAAATTGCAAATTTTTATACTTCTGGAAGAACTGTTGAATTGGATATGCTTAATTATATAAATCAACAAATTGAAATTTATAGACTTTTAGATCAAATAAAACTAATATTAACATCAACTACACAATCTTCTTTAGATTATTTACAAAATGAACAATTAGCAAAAAGAATGTTAGCAATATATAATTATACAATTCTGAAAATAATAGAATTTCAATATTCTATTACTAATATTAATTTTTTTGTTACTGGATCTAAAGATTATCCTGGAAGATTAATTAAACCTTTTTCTGAAGCATATTTATCAAATGAAAATTTAAAATTATTAGTTGATTATTATACTGAAATATATTCAAATGATAATCTTAAATTTTATACTGAAGGACAAGTATCTAATGATTCAAATTCATATTTAGTTTCAAAAAGAATTATAAAAGCTAGTGCTTTAGAATTATGTGGTAAATATTTTAGATCTGAACTTACACGTTCTGATTTAGGTGCATATTTTTTAGCATTATTTAAAGATATAAATGAACAAGCAATTCATTGGCCAGGAAAAATTAATTATTTTTTACAACATACTATGCTTCTTCCAGCTAAGTATAATAAAAATAATACAAATAATAATAATAAAGAACTTGTTCCTATTAGTCATACTCTTTGTTTTGTAGATTGGTTTAACCAATCAACTATATCACAAAAAAATTATTTTTTATTACTTAATGATTTAGATTTAAAAGATAGACTTCCACTTGCTGAAATTTGGGAAACAAAATTCCAAACTAGATCTTATGAAAACTTTTTTCCTGTTCAAAAAATATTATGTAAATTTGTTAGAGGAAACTATAAATTAAATAATCAATCTAAATTAGTTATTTTACCTTTAAATAATAAATTAGCTTTTTAATTAAAACCAAAATATATATAGAATATTTTTTATATTATTTTTATAGCAAATATTTTTATAAATTATTAATAAAATATTATTTAAATATTTTATGATAATAGTTTATATTTCTAACAAGTTAATATATTAAAATTATTTAATTAAAATATTAAAATATTTTTAAAATAGTTATAATATATTTATATAAAAATATATTAATATTTTATTAAATAATATAATTAATAATTCAATAGAAATATATTAATATATTAATAAAATATTATTTAAATATTTTATGATAGTATTTTATATTTCTAACAAGTTAATATATTAAAATTATTTAATTAAAATATTAAAATATTTTTAAAATAGTTATAATATA